TAGAGAGATAACCGGTAGCTTTGTTTTAATTTGAAGTTTCCGAAGACACTCGTGCAGACTTGGGTGATTTTCATGTGTGTATGGACAGGCATACAGCGGATTGATGCGGATTGGCTTAGTGTTGGCAAACCTAAGGGTTGCCCGCTTCATCGCTTTAAAGTGCATCGGCTGAAGAGTCATGCATGTTGATCAGGTACGGTATATAATTTGGAGCAGGCACCGAATGTGATCGAGTCAAGACAGGTGGAACATTGAGGACCTCCTCCACTGACTCCACTGAAATGTTCCTTTGCTGAAGCATGTCAAGTGCCTGCCATTTTACCAGCACAGATGCAAAGCCGAAGAAGAAGACGAGCTACGCAGCCGTTTACAAGCAGAACCAAGCAGATTCCACGGGTGCTCTCAAGCCATCTCTTTTTCCGACACAAATTGGACCAATGACCAATGTGTTTCGCGGTGTAACTTGTTTATTGTAACTTTCAAACCTGATGAAAGAACAGCCAAGCACACAAAAGTCAAACATGTCAACTCTCTGACATGGGCTGGCAGGAGAGGATTCCACACAAACATAAAAGTCCAACGGATCAGACTCTCTCTCTCTATATATAAATGGACAATGGACACCTGAGGTCACTGTATCACTGCAGCGTATTGGGTGTGTAAAATTGTTTGTAGTAGCTTCTTGCTCCTAGTAGCGAGGCCAGGAGCCCCTAGTAGCGTCCTTGCTCCTAGTAGCGATGCCTGTTGCATCAGTTGCATCTGGAGATTTTCAGGTCAGAAGGGTTGTCCGGCTTGCCTTCAGCTTTTTGGCTCCCCTTCTAAGCTCTGGGGCGAGCGGTTGGTGACTATGTTTGATTGGGGAGGCTCAGCTGCAAGAGTGCGATGTGTTGTGCTTATGCTTCAATAGCAACAGCATTGTATATGCAACTGGTCTGAGTCAAGCAGACTACTGTATATAATATATATATAGTCTATTCTAAATCGAGGCATATGTTTGGGTGCCCCAATTGTACATGCTTGCGCTTTGATCAAGCTTTGAGGGGCAAGCTTCTTGTTGGTTTCTCGTCCTTAAACGGTTTAGATGAAGTTCTTTCAAAACCTGTGACCATCACACGTGCTTTAGAGGGTTGCATTATTTTTCTGGGGATGCTTCAAAACCTGGCAAATGTTAAGGGAGTCACCAAAAAGCAATAGCCAACAAAAAAGGAAAATGTGACCACCTCTCATGTTTTGCTGTTTTGGGCTCCTGAGGAACCTAGGCGATACTTCCTTACAGCCACAGCCTCCAGTTGGATGGGTTCATATAACATGGTTTAACTGTAGGTATCGAAGCGATACACTGCAGAGTCGAATCCAGCAATCATCGCCTGGCGGGTATGGGGATTGAAGGAATACTTAAAGCAAGACAAACAGCCATGTAGTATTGAGAAATGCAGATGTCAGCCAAATCACAGCTGCCGTAGACACACGGCAAGAAAACACAAGAAAGACATCATTTTTCTGTTTCCTTGACCACTCGATTGGAGGTGTTGTGCATTTGTCCCGACATGTTTTTTGTAATAATCATTAGACCGCACTTTTCTCAAGTTCGTTCCAAGGAAAGGATGAGACCTGTGATCAGGTGAAAAAGCTCCTGAAAAAGTGCTCGAGGGTTTTCTGATGAGTCGTCCTAGTCACAACACACTTCAAACGCCTAGCCATGCTTCAGGTACCCGGACCGTATTCCAGTGATTTGTGCCAAGGCGATGTGCAGATCAGAGCATCCATGAAAAGAGAGTGATCTCAGATGCCAAATCCATAGAGTCTCTCCCACTTGTGGTCAATCTTAGCATCACAAGTGTTAGGCTGCAAAGACAGTTCTTCCGGAGATCGAGAAGAAGAAGTTTCTGGTGTCCAGCGCTTAGATTTCTCTCAGGTCAGTCGGCCGGTCAAGATATAGGTCTGACATGGAGCCAGCTACGTCCATTAGGTAGGGGCACGTCAGTACTATCTCACCGGTTTGGTTTAGACTGCACATTGTATATGTTTGGTCAAGGTAAGTATTGTTACATGATGTTACATGTCAATCTCTTGCAGAAGGCATTTTGTTTCTCTCCATGACGTGACCGAGGCCGTGTGCAGTTTTGGAATGATGGTCCTTTTGTTTGTGTAGAAGTTTTGGATCATGTTGCTTCCGTTTACCAGATCCCTTGAGGCCTGGTACAATGCTGTGCGGAGAGTTCAAGTTTCTTGCCTAGCACTTTATTTGCTAGCGGAGGAGTGTTACGCCAAAGCAAGCATTTGATTGGATTGATGCTATTGTTGGAATAGTACGGTGCTTGTTTGCCACTGATCATATAATTACATATATACATAATTAATGTAATATAATTCTCGCGACCGTGCAATCAATTAATGTTGTTTGCTCTATTTACAGCGCCTGCTCTGAAGCTTGTGATTTTCAGGTACATCATTCACAAGCACATTGCTGCCACAGGAAGTCCTCAAAGAACGGGACCTGACCAGGAGCACCAATTGCTGATAGAGAGTTACGAATCGAACACTTGTAACTTGCACGGCAAAGTCCTGCACAACCCCAGTTGTGCCTGGCTTGTAAGAGCCGATGTATGCTTAGCAACGCGGATTACAGATGCATGACATTTCTGGCTCAATATGACCAGTTCAATGGACGGGGAGAGATCCTTCGGTGCAAACAAAGGCTGTAGCTCATTTATGTTAATTTCTGGTCCGCATAGCCCAATGCTAGTAGTATTTGCTACTAGGAGCAAGAAGCTACTAGTAGCAAAGGGCATCGCTACTAGGAGCAAGGACGCGACTAGTACAGTAGCTCCTGGCCTTACTCCTAGGACCTAGGAGCAAGAAGCTACTAGCTTCAGTTACTCTTTCACAATTCACAATCTTGCATACAATAACCTGGCATATTGTCATCTCAATGGGCTTCATGTTCGACTCAATTTCACCTTGCCCCACCTAAGTTAGGTTCATGGCACGGTGATGCTTGTAAATTTGTAATTATGCTTCAGTTGCTTCATGTTTCCTCTTTTTGTACAGTAACTGTTTCTTTTGCATCAACTCATTGAATGGTCACCTGATTTGAGCTCAAGATATTGACCTACCAACAGGTAATTTCAATCTTGAGGGTAGGTTTGCTTCGGCAATTTGAGTGAACTAAATATGTACTATTACTATACTATGAACATTTGTGCAACATATTTTTCACATGAAAATTGTAGTCCTGCCGTGAATTGTGCATGTCATCAGCTGATTCCATTCACTCATTCTCCAGACCTTGTACTTGCTCTTGAACAACAGCAAGACGTCTGCAAAGACCAGCGATACCATTAGCCAAGTGACCCAACGCGTTCTCCGATGGCGTGAAGTTGAGCAATTGACAATGGCACAGGTTCTCACGGGTTACAACAAGAAATGTGAATCAAGGACCTGGATTCTAGCTTTCATAGGAGGGGCTTGAGTGATACATCAAGGTCCAGCATTGCTGCAATTCAACAGTTGGGAAAGCCTTTTCGTTGTTTCCTTTGCTCAGCTACTTAGTTGCTGAAGTTGCATTGACTCTACCGTTGTAAAGCCCTGACCCTCCGAAGCTCCATGCCTCACAAGTGGCATCGTTTCGCAGGTATATGCCATGCACAGGGCAAAGGATGGCTACTTGCACCCTGACGTTTGGGCAGATCAATCGAGATTAGCTAGGCATTCCACTCCACTCTGCGGCGAGAAGCAGATTCCACTCCACCTTCAGTATGCAGATTCAATGAATAAAGAAAAAAGAAAGGAAGGGCTCCTTTAATGGCCTTTATTGGAGGGGCTTTACCTTCCTTATTTTTTCTCGAATGTCCAGCATTTGCAATGCATTCTACTCACCAGGTACATTCACTACAGTGCCGAAGCAACCTTGGGCTGATCACAGATTTGCTTGGAATTCGGTGCATTGAAAGAGAGAGTTCACCACTGGAGCCATTCTTGGAACTGCCATTTGAGCCCTAATCAATTGTGACATGCCGGGACTTAGTTGGGCTAGGAATTCTTAAAAGAGCCAAACAACATGAATCTTGAGGAACATGATGTTCACTTGACATAGACGACAGGTCATCAGGTCGGCTGCTAGCATGAGGCCATATGAAGCCTGATGCGAAGTGGGTGAGACAGGTTGCACCGTGGTCAAGCCCCAGTCCAAAGGAAACCCTCCTCCCGAGTTGCCATGTCAGTTGATGCTTTTCAAAACTAAGCGCTGAGATGTGCATCAGTTCAGTCAGAGACTCATAGATAATATGAAGAGCTCCACTGCACTCAAGAGCTACTAGTAGCGTTCTCGCTACTAGTAGCGATGCCAGGAGCTACTAGTAGCGTCCTTCACTCAGACCATCCGAAATCATCCTTGCGCTTCTTCCACTTGAGCTGCGCTGGCAACGTCTCCTTGTCAATGCTCAATATGGCGGACAGATGACGAGTTGTAATGTGAGTAAATACAATATTTTTCAACGCATTGCACACGCTTGCTTCCTGAAGATTTTTCTGCGAGGTATTGACAAACCCACTATCTACCATGATGTGTTGATATTTGCTGTTAGTCTATGATGTCTATGCCTGAAGCCAAACCATGCAGCATTTGAACAGAAGGAGAGGAAGAGAAACACAGGAGCTTCCTGGCCTTACTACTAGGAACAAGAAGTTACTAGGGGCTCCTGGCATCGCTACTAGGAGCAAGAAAGCTACTAGGAGTCACTAGGAGCATGAAGTGGATTGACAGTTGCCAGCTGCAGTGAAAGCTTGTGGGCCACTGTGGGCACAGGCTCTGGAGCAGAGCCAGTTCTCCTTGCCACGGCCAGCCTTTAGCTGTGCAACATGGGGTAAACAGCAGCCGTGACCGGCCAAGCGAGTCGAAGCAGAAGCAGACTCTTCTGTGCTAAGTAGGGAGCTTGTGAACGAACGTGCGCAGGTTTCAGCTTCGAACACTTCCTTAGTTTTAGCTTTTGACCATTGTTCATTGTTCATTCATTCCTGAAGTGTCACAAGCACATGCGGTCCTTGGCGAAAGTGTCCATGCTGCTGCCGGACAGAGATTTCCCTTTTCTGGAGAAGTCAGTTGCCTCAACCATGGCTCGTCTGGCAAGAGTCTTCGGCGAGCTTTGTTACAAGCGAATGGATTGAACAAAAAGTTCTTTTGAAACTCAGCAGTGGCAGTGGCAGGTTGCACTGAACTGTCGACACAGTTGTGTGGAGTGACTTCGCAGTCACTACCACTATTTATCGAGCTAAAAGCTTCGTCCGCTGTTTTGCACCAAATACTAGCTCAATATCATGAGAACCGTCTTCTAGTTCTCGTTTGACACCAACCCCTTTGATAGTATTTGATGGTGCACAGCGCACTGTTGTGGATTTTCGGCTCAGGATGCGTTTCTTTTGTTATATGCAGCACGTTGTTCTGATGGAAGCAGCTTATTCGACTGAATCCGCATGGTTGAATGGCTTCGTCCCACAGATTTGTGAGAAGCTGAGGGAACGCCTCGTTGCACACCGGGGATTTCATTGCCCACTGCTCTCCTCAGATCGGCCGTTGGAATGCACAAAGCCTGCTTTGAAGATAGCTTGGGATTCTGGTCTGCGTTACTGTGAGTGTGATGTACGTTTGAGTTCAGATGGGAAGATTATGTTGCTTCACGATCCAAACCTGGACAAATTGGTGGAAGAATCTGCCAAGCCTACGCCCAATGCGAATGAGATAACGGCGGAGGATTTAATCAGCTGGCCTTTGCTCCAAAAAGACGTTCATTTGACCTACTTAGAAGACGTGTTGCTGACTGCTCTAGAAAGCGGAAGTCGCCTGGCAACTTGTCTGATGCAAGATTATATATAGTATCAAGAAACCAATGCGTGTGTATTTCATTCAGACGCTGCATTCACAGTGTGCAGGTTTGCAACATGATATGCTTCTTGAGTTTATGATTTGTGGGGTACATTGTGCAGGATACCTACACTTTCAGTATATAGATATAATATATCCGTGTCTCGCCTTCCCCAGATAATGCATGAATTTGCATGATGTGCGATTTGTGTACGTAAGGTCGCCTCAAAACGACAGCTTAGCCTGCTTAACACTGCTGCACCATTGTAGTTGCTGTCGCAGTTTCTTCCGTGTCTTGGTCGCCTTCGATTCCTGTGAGGTGATCGAGCTGAAAGGAAGTCCAGGATCTCCCACTGTGGGATCCGCTGTGGCCAGGCTCTTGCAGGGCAATCCGCAATTGCTAGAGGCTTTGCAGACTCTGCAGTGGCAGTTTTCCATGTCGGCATGGTCTAAAACTACCGTACGGATTGGAAACCGTACCCTATTTTGCAGGTTCTCATGTCAAATTCATTGGTATACGCAATGTTTTGTCATGCGTCTTTGCCTAAATAAAAACAGGCTTTTTCGTGACACCTCAAGTTGCCTGTTTTTTTGTGTAACTAGCTGTCCCCAGTCAGGCTCCCAGTGCAAGTCTTTTTCATCGATGCCATTGTCGAGCAAATCAGCGGCGGTGCACCCATCTGACATGGAGCTGCTACAACGACGCAACAAACGCCAACTCAACACCAACAGTCACCAACAGAAAAGGAGTTGGTTTCTGCCTTTTCGAAAAAGAACACCTCAACCGCACATTTCGCCAAAGTGTGAACAACGAAAGACGAGCTTCTTCTAACACTTGCTCTCAGTTTACCCAGCCACGATCTAAACCCAAAACGGTTTCGTGAACAAAAGAAACTAAAGGGTCACGAGTTAAACCGTCTATGTACTGGTCTAAAGAAAAAGGGTTGACACACCACAAAGGAAGAAAACACAAAAAACGAGGAGGAAAAGGAACACCCGACAACCGACACAACAAAGCTAAAGCACACGGTGGTTACTTCTTGAGCCTTCATGCTCATGAGACGTATGTGAGAACAACTACAACGAAATTACAACACCCCCCATGTTTTCTGTTTTGGGGTCCCCGTTTACGCTATTGCTTCAACTTGGTTGTCTTGCGATATGCTCTTACGCAATGCATTGACATGCCATATCATGCCATAATATTTGGCTCAAGGTATGCGCGTGTGAAAACAGCCGCTCGATCGCCTTCGCTCACTCGCTCTTGTGAACCTTGTTGGACTGTGAGTTGAATCCAGGGATACTGTGTACTACACGCTCCACTGCGGGGAATTTGACCCTCACCCCACCCCCCCACCCCACCCAACACCATGTGATGACATGACCAAGCGTCGTGGAGTCCGAAAATGTCAGAAAAGTCGGTCCGGCTTTCAGTCCCTAGGGCAAAACTAGCAGCCAAAGAAAATGAGATAGCTGGGACAATCTGAAACCTTGGTCATATAGAGAGGCGGAGGACTTGGTTTGCATTAGTTGTATCTCGCATACCGAATTCCTTTGTATATTTGCTACATTCCTGAGAAAGGCAGCACGGCCATGTGTTCGATATGTTCTGGATTGGATCCAGACCCCTCAATGAGTAACAGGCGTGCGCTTTGGTGATGTCGTTTGAAGTTCCAGAGCTTCTGGGCTTTGCCGATGCTTGGGATGAGAGCATTGCCGAGACATCTCGGCCAAAGCTGCTCTTGTGCCTTGGGCTCCCAGAGAAGGCAAGAAAGCTCTGAGACTTAGATTCAAGACCTTCTCTAGACATGGTATGACACGGTAACCGGTCACTCTTCAGTGATTCCGGTGGCAGTCATTTCTGATATTATGATACTACTGTTTCTTCGAGCAAATGGTTGCTTGCCAGTATCTTGGCCCTGTGTTATTGAGCCAACCAAACCGCTTTGGCTATGGGCAAGCCTGAGTTGAATGAACTGTCACAAAAAACATCACTGCAAATTGCAATCTTTGCCTTAGACATCAGTTTGATCTCCATTTACAAAGCTGCTTGTTTGGAAAAATCCAACAACCTTCGATTCCCCGAGGTTAACTGCCATTCCACGGGAGAACCTCGAGGCGAAATATCAAACGCTGGACCTTGGAGACTCTGCATGGCCAGAGAAAGCCGCCACGTTCTTGGCCCGAAAGGACAGACAAATAAACTTCGGAATAAACTCCGGAATGTTTGGAACTACTTTTTTGAAGCCCGTGGTCGCCACGGCCCTGCCTCCTTACTTAATTAAGTAGGCGCCTACTCAATTGAATAAGGGCGACTAGTTAACTTCAAGTTAACTTCTGGTAACTGGACGCAGGATAGCTCACGCTTCTTCAAATGAGCTCCCACCGCCTGAGGACGGCTGGGAGCTTCCTTGAAGAAGCGCTCACACTAATGATTTGGTTCCTAGATTGTTAGGGAAACTTTGTAGACCGACTAGACTAGACCTTGAAAACCAGGTTGTGAGAACCGATGGATGAGAGAGCAGGTGACGATAGTTGATGACCCTAGGCACGATTTTCTGTTGTTGCCTCCTATCTTGGGTGTGATCTGAACTTGCTTACGAAATTGTGAACTTGTTGATGTGTGTTCAGACCACTCTCAGACCACAGGTTCCGCCCGAGTATGAGTTGATACATCAACGTTCGATGCAGAATGATGGACTCTGCAGGACTTGTTACTAGATGGCTTCTATATCGAGTGGACCGAGAAACTGTCGAATGACAACCAAGAAGCTCTCAGAAAGCTTTGCCACGCGGATGTTTGCAGCATTCACAACAAAGTCAGATACATACCTTAGTCACATCTATGATTCACCATGAGCTGGCACATGTTGGTACAATGTTTTTGATGCAATAGTTACTATAGTTCATCTCCACATGCATGGATTGGATGCAACAATTGTACCATTCAATGGAGGTCTTATGCTGACCCTGACCCAATAACATGTTTGTGTTTGCTAAGCTTTGCTGGGCTCTTTTTGAAGCTACCCTGTCCCACCCATCCCCGAAAAGACTTAGGCGTTTTAAACAATTAGGCATAGGCTTTATGGATCTTAATATTCATTCTTTGTCGGTTTGGAAGGAATGCAGTAGCATTATTTGGGTGTGTTGTGCTTGTTGTTTGAATTTATCCTCCACTATGACTCACTTTCTCATGTTCCAAGCTCGGTGAATTAAGGCCAAATGTGCACTGTCGGTGTGTGGCAGCATTTTGGCCAAACTGATTCCCACGAGGAGGCACAATTAGCGACAGAACCTCTAGTAAGGCTTACCTTCCTGCTTGTTCTTATACATTCTCATCATTCCAAGAGATTCTCGTAATTGCTCACTTGCTGTCTTTCCGATTCTGATTCTAATGACGTTGTTCCAGCCCTCAATCTTGACAGGCTTCCCGTTTAATGGACCTTGGTGCAAGCTTTTGTAATACTGATCTTCCTCGAGGCTTCCTCCGAGGCCATGCGCGATTTGTTGCTACTGTCGCCAAACAGTACTGTCTGGTTGCAACCATTAAGGTGCTAAGCTGTTTCTTTGTGTTTGTCTGTGTCCCAGGTCTTAGAATTCAATGATATATAATTATGATATTATACGATGATATGCCTCAGGATCCTGAGTCTTCAAGCCATACGGCTTGGAAAATGCATCAGGAAGCATTGGAACTGCACGAAAGTTAGAAGGACTGGTGAACAGATACAATCCCATACTCGATAAGACTCTAGAAATGCCAAAAAAAGCATCAACTTACTGTTGTTTTTTGTGGCCGGCGCTTCCAATGCTGAACAACACCGGTCAGCCTTCAGTAGGTTTGGCCGCCAAGGTGTCACATTTGAATTGTCTCATTCAAGGAGATTAAGTCCTTTTGGAATCAGTGTCGAAGAGTGCATAGCCTTTTCACTTCAGAAGTTTGCCAAGCAGAAAACGTGCTCCAAGCATCGGCGACGTGAAATGTGCTGCATCGACCTAGATGTTCAAGGCTCCCCAGAATGGTATCACTCTGACACAGCGGAGCTCCACTGCTGCCAGGCTTTGCAGGCTTTGCGATATTCTCTTAAAAGAGAAGTAAGAGAACAGGTACTGACACAAGCTTTCGTGCAAAATGACACAGATTGGATTGGATGCCCACAGCTGAGATCCCTGTGGCCCAAGCTGCTCGGATTGGTACAGCCACAGCATACTGGTACCACCCAGCTGTCAAGCCAAGCCCACAAATTGACGCGCATCCAGTCTTTTTGTTTGTTGCCTTCTAAAGAGGCTTTTCACGAGGATTTGTTTAAATGGTTTTGTTTCATGTTGCATGACGTTGTATCGCTTGAGCACCTGAACCCCTGTTGGAGCGGTTTGGAGTTGTTTGAGGAAACCGACCACCTGGTTACCAGCTCACCTGCACGTACTGTTTCACGCCACATCACCATCCCAGACTTAGTGTCACTTCAATGCTACGAGCGCAAAGCTCATCACAGCACAGGCGCTGTTTTGTTTGCTCAAACGCAAGATACAGTCTTATGTTGTGTAGGTCAACATAATTACCGATATTTGAGCGTCGCTCCAATCAAAATTGCCATCAACACCATTCAACAACTTGCCATTCATTCATTGTGCTGCTGCTAATGTTCACGATTGAGATGCTGTATGTAGATTCACAACTCCTGTTTGCTGCTGTGCTCTAAACTTTTAAACGGTTGCATTCCTTTTTTTACACACAATCACATGCTGCTTTTGTTTGGTTTGAAGGCGGACCAGTTCCAGGCGAAGACATGTTTTTTTTACAAGTTTGGCTGCAGTGTTCTCAGGCTCATTTGTGTAGATACCTTCACACCTAACAGTGTATCAAATTGTGTTGGTTCAGCTTGTCCAACAATTCTGCAATGCGTGGCTGCGTTGAACACAGTTGGTCAATTCTACTTGATTCCTGCCGAGAATGAAGACAACCATGATTAGAAATGCAAGTTTCGAGTGTGGCAAGTTTCCTTCTACAAGCATGCTCAAAGACAGGCTATCAGCAGATCCAGGCCGAAGGGATCTCAATCCTGTTCAAGAAATAACTTTCCTGTCTACTCTTTCTTGACTGTACTTCTTGCCTTCAGACATCGGCGCTTTGTTGGTCTTTGCGTTGCTTTAATGGGATATTTTGAGGATCCATGCCTTTCCACGTAGCTTTGTGGCTGACATTTGCATTGCCTATCTAGAAAGAGCCAAATTTGCCAAGCTCTTTCTACTGTAGATATTTTGCAGGAGGAACCGTTTCCAGCTCCGCAAGCAATGCTCCTGCAGCAGGCAAAACAGATGCAAACCAAATCCCTCGTCTCGTTTTGTTGATGCTCCGAGGCATTGTTTCGCTTCTCAAGTGACTCGTTCTGCCTTTGCCAGGGCAGCGCTATTTAAGTCGAGAAGGTGCGGAGTGGACTCCAGTGGACCCGAATAAACCATGGGCACAAATCGGCCCTCGGTGCACAGTTCTCATAGTTCGGCTTCCTACAAGTCTGTTTAGCTCCCTGATGTTGCCATCAGTGCAATGAATCCAATCATTTTGAAACATTTTACGTCGCATGTGGACGTGCTTGAAGGTTCAAGCATAGAGCCTGATTATGTAGCATCAAGTAGGCTTTAAGGACATTGGTTGATAGCAAACGTCAGAACCACTCCGGCTTCACAACTGTTTGCTTCTACAAAACTGTTTTTGTTATTTGTTGCGAAGCTTGGATGCTGCAGTTTCTTTCTCCCCTTCAACACCAGAAACCCTGTCAGGAGTCACAGCGTGTTTTTGCACAATGCCAAACATGAAGCTATGTTGCCCAGACATGCCTAGACCAACACAAAGTCAAGTCATCTGTCAGACATACTTTGGCACTTTCGCTCCAATGGAGGCCCGAGCCGTGTCGCGTGCCATAGTCAAAGGCCAACACTTTGCCGAGATCACTGTCCTGTTGGACAATGGCGAACTCTCCACCTTACTGGGCCCTGCGCGGCGCAACCGCCCCGAGGCCCTGAAAGATTGCCTGGAGCTCCGGAAAGTGGCGATGAAATGCACGGACGACAGCAAATTGTTAATTCTGAAGAAACGGAAGAAGGAACTCGAAGATGTCACGTGGACGGTGAAGGATCTGGGAGGACGATTGCTAGATGGTGCCGAAGGGCCACCGCCCGGCTTTAAGCCGCCCAGCTGGATGCCGCAAGCGGATGCCGTAAGCAGCACACCTTTAGGCTATGTGTCACCGGGCAAATATCGAGCTCCCGTAAAGCCAACGGCCAAAGAGGAGGAATCCGTCTATAGTTTCAAGACACGGAAACTTGTAGAATGTGCAGAAGCTGATGTTAAGGAGCTTGTTTCATCTGGTGACTGGGAATCCAAGGCCAAAGTTGCCTTGCAACAAGCCTTCAAGAAGTTTGGGCCTGTACTTGAAATCCGGGTGGATTTCAAAAGTGATGATGGTGAAAAAGTAGCTTCCGTCCGGTTCGCAAGTGCAAAAGCCGTGGAACTTGCCATGAGCAAGGCGTTGCGTGGATGGCTTCCAGTGGGTGACAAACATGTTCGCGTGCGGCAACCCGCTGTAGAAGCAAAGGCAGAATGGCGTACCTTTGTGGCCCCTCGCAGGGCGGCACCCGCCCTTGAGTCGGCGCCAAACAAGAAGAGACTGAGACCGAATGAGAGATTTGCCAACAAGAAAGACGTCGAGGATGAGGAGACCAACAATTTCGATGCTCAAACAGGACCACATTCCCAAGCGACACCCAAGGCAGTACCTGTGCCACCAATGCCTGAGCCAGCGCAACCGGAACCTGATCGACCTGTTCCGCTTGCCCTGGAGGAAGCAACTTCGGTGGAAGACCGAGAAGTCGCCAAAGGGGAAGAGGAGGTTGCCCGAGAAATGAAGGCCTTGCTGCAAAAGCCCTTTTCTCAGCAGAAGAAGGCCTTGAAGGCCATACGCGCAAAATGGCACCCTGACAAGAATCCAGATGCTGTCGAGGTTGCGACCCGTGTCTTTCAGTTCATCCAAGCACATGATGAATGGCTACAACATCATGGACTCGCATAGGAGTCTGTCCTTGCGGACGTCGCAGAGCAAAATGACCGCTGGTATCGCTAGGTACGATTACTTGATTACGCTTTCCCACAAGAAGAGCTACTGTATGTCGAAATACAGAGTTGCATCAAGGGATAGCGTTGTACCATGTTGTACCGCATGGTGTTGTTGATGTTTCTGTTAAACATCAAATAACTATCCAGAGGCAACTTCAGAATTCTGGCAGTATCGATGGCAAGTTTGACTTTGAGTCCAGCTGATATAAATATAATATAAATAAATATATATATATATATATTACAGCAATAGGTGTCGAATCGAGCCATTTTACTACCCTGCGGTGCTGGAAATAAGTGCGCAGGCCATGAGATCCTGCGCTGGGCATTGCCTGCCTTGGCATTGTTAGGCGGACTCTTTGTGGAACATGCCTCTCGGCAAAACGCAGTTGACAGAAGAAGATCAGCTCTCAAACACAAAGTAAAACCAACATCACAGGGAAATTTCCGAGTGAGCTTTCCAGAAACATCAACACTTGAACCGCTTGAACTGCTTGAGCCCTCAGTCGAGTGGTTGAAACCACATGATTCCAGACAAAACACGCTCAGACCGTGCTCACCAGAACAGGGACTGTGTGGGCTGCTCTGTACAACCCGAGGTTGGGCTGTACCTGGCAACGTGTTCACTGGCATGTTTGCCGTGACGACTTGCTGCAAACAGTCCGCTTTGGAACATTGTTGAACACAAACTAGCGAAATCATGCGAAATAATAGTAATAAATTATAGCGAACCTGGAATACTATGTTCATTTTGGGGCATCGTTTCTATCCACGTTTTGTTCCAACGCTACAGTGGGCCAGTTTCCAGGCGCAGCTATGTTCGCTGGATGGCCTCTCGGTCCTGAGGAAGAGCGTTCCAACATGATATTGCTGTAGATTCACAAAGATGCTCGTTGGATGCCTCAAGCTTGAGTTATACATTCTCCAAGGGCCTAGGGGTTGGCTACACAGTTGCAAACAACTTGAGTAGGCCTTTATTCTAAACTTGAATTTGGATTGACAGGTCTTGGTGAAAGTAAGGTAGGACGCAAGGCAAGTGTGCAAAGTGAACATAAGCTTCAAAACAATGGAACAGTTCCAAGTCAATTGCTGAGGCAGATGTTCTTTGTCTACTGCCTTCATGGAGTGCATGCACGCACATGGGCATCGATCTAAAGGTCCATGAAAGGAGTTTCATATGGAACAGCCATTTCGGTTACTAAGTACCAACCGGGCGAAAGATCGCGAAAGTTAAACACAGGGTTCGCGAAAGTAATCGTTTTTTTCGCGAAAGTTCATGTAACCGTTATTTGTAGGTAAAGGGACCCTTATTTGTTTGCTTACTGTGATCTGTTCAGACCACCAGCTCAGAAGGAAATCAGAGTCTTCCTTTAACTACTATATATATATATACCCATGTACCCGAACTTCTTCTGAATATGTAAGATCATACTTCGCGAAAGTTCGCGAAAGTTAAACATGGGGTTCGCGAATGTATTTTTTTTCCCGAAGAGGCACTTTCCAGATGAAAGGAATTTAGATCAACCACCACATGCATACTGAGATATGAGTGTCGATCGAGTTGTTACACAGGTGGCTGACAACATTGGTTGCAGTAGAACGGCCAT